ATGTGCTTCTGAAAGGTCACAGCCTTGAAAACACCATGAAGTGTAGTTCTACTTTGCACACATAGGGTCACCATGAGTCAGAATCAACTGAAGTTAAAACACACTCACCAAACTGCTCTTAACTTCATAGCAAAAGGAAATACTTCTCTATATAGTCTTCTTTAAATGGCCCTTCTTATTGCCTGGCAATCGATCATGTATTTCTCTAGTCCTTTCACTCTCCCTCTCTCCTAAACAACTCCTCTCAACCATCCAGTGACCCCTCTCCCATCATCACTCTCCACTGATGACCTTGCTTCCTATTGTACTGCTTGAAGCCAAGGTGCAGTGCTCCCATGAGGGGAGTGGAGGGAGAGAAACACAGCTAGGGCTCTCTTTTTTGCACATTCTCCCTGTAACCTGCTTTATTCAGTCAATGATCTCCACCTTTATTTTCATCCCATCTGTCATGGATTGAATTATGTCCTCCAAAAATATCTGTCAACTTGGCTAGGTCATGAGTCCCAGTATTGTATGATTGTCTACCATTTTGTCATCTGATGTGATTTCCCTATGTGTTGTAAATCCTGTCACTATGATGTAATGAGATGGATTAGTGGTAGTTATATTGATGAGATATACAAGATTAGATAGTGTCTTAAGCCAGTCTCTTTTGGAATATAAAAGAGGTAAGTGAGCAGAGAGACATGGGAGCCTCATACCACCAAGAAAGCAGTACAGGGAACAGAGCGCATCCTTTGGACCTGAGGTTCCTGCACTGAGATGCTCCCAGACCAAGCGAAGACTGATGAGAAGGACCTTCCTCCAGAGCCAAAAGAGAAAGAAAGCCTTCCCCTGGAACTGGCACCCTGAATTCGGATTTCTAGCCTACTAGACTGTGAGAGAATAAACTTCTCTTTGTTAAAGCCGTCCACTTGTGCTATTTCTGAGATAAATCTTGTCTCTCTGTCTCTGTCTCTCTCTCTGCCTCTCTTTCTCTCTCTCTCTCTCTATAGATATACTTCACTGTTTTGCTTCTCTAGAGAACCCATCCTAAGACAGACCCTAAGAAGTTTCATTTTCAGAGGTCTTTTATACAAGATCTGGAAAGGCCTGCTGAACCAGCCATTCTTTTATATCTGTGCTGTCTCAGTTGATTCCTTGTCCCAGCACATTGGTAGTTACAAAAACTTCTCATTAAACATGTTTTTCCATTCCAGGTGTTTTGTTCACAAGAATTTTGTCATGCTCAGGAGATCTAGGACGACATCACAAAATATCTGTACTTAAGTTTTTACGACCAAAACTGAAGCTTGACAACTTTCAAATCAAGCCACATTGGTTTTTTTATTTTGTTTTGTTTTTGCAAACACTAGTTGTCTTAGTTATTTAGTGCTGCTATAACAGAAATACCACAAGTGGATGGCTTTAATAAAGAGAAATTTATTCTCTCACAGTCTAGGAGGCTAGAAGTCTGAATTCAGGGTGCCAGCTCCAGAAGGCTTTCTCTCTCTGTCGGCTCTGGGGGAAGTTCCTTGTCATCAATCTTCCCAAGTCAAGGAGCTTCTCAGCGTGGGAACCCCGGGTCCAAAGGATGCGCTCTTCTCCTGGCTCTTGTTTCTTGGTGGTATGAGGGTATGAGGTCCCCATGTCTCTGCTCGCTTCTCTCTTTTATATCTCAAAAGAGATTGACTTAAGACACAACCCTGCTCTTGTAGATTGAGTTCTGTCTCATTAACATAACTGCCCATAATCCTGCCTCATTAACATCATAAAGGTAGGATTTACAACCCATAAAAAATAACATCAGATGACAAAATGGTGGACAATCACACAATACTGGCCTAGCCAAATTGATACACATATTTTTGAGGAACACGATTCAATCCATAACAGTAGTCATTCACAAAACTGTATTTTAATTTCTTATTGATTAACCCACTAGCATAATATTACCCTACTAGATAACTAGATTGTTAGTGCCATGAGGGCTAGAACCCTGTTTATCTTGCTCACAAACGACAGTATGTGGTACAAGGTTAGAACTCAATAAATGTGTTCTGAATAAATGAATGAATCCATCAGTTTGTTGTTATTAATGTGGCGCCATTGTTGACTATGATTTTATATCAGAAATATACTTACTATTAGCGTAGCTAAGAGCATAACTCTAGACCCAGGCTTCCAGGGTTCAAATCCCAGGGCACCTCCTGCTAGTTGTTGTTGTTAGGTGCCATCAAGTCAATTTCTACTCATAGCGACCCCATGTGACAGAGTAGAACTGCCCCACACAGCTTCCTAGGCTGCAATCTTTATGGGAGTCGTTCACCAGGTCTGTCTCCCGGGGAGCCGCTGGGTGGGTTCAAACCGCCAACCTTTTGGTAGCAGCCAAGCACTTAACTATTGCGCCACCAGGGCTCCTTCTTGCTAGTTGTGTAACTTCTCAACTCTCAGTTTCTTTATCTAATAATATGGGGGTAATTCTAGCGTGCATCTCATAAAATTTATATAACATAAATGAGGTATGTCAAATACTTAGAACAGTACCTAGCAAGTTCTTAATGAATGTGGAATATCCCAAATTTATTTTCTATATTCATTATCTAAATGTCATTTTATGTAAGTACTGAGAAAAATATTGGATTTAGTGTTTAGTGACATTTTGAGAGTGCAATTTTAATAGCCAGGTGAGGGCAGAAACAAATGTCTGCATTAACGAGAAAAAGAAATCTTTAGCCTAAAGGAAAGATTTTAGACACGAACCCTCCTCCCCTCCACTCCATCTACTCAAAAGTTTTCTCCCACTTAAAAGTATTTTGGTAAAGTTGGCAACCGTATCTGCACGGATGCTGGAATAGGTCATGATACAGCTGCTCCTGTGTTTTAGGGAGGTAAAGGCCTTGGCTGTGACTCATTGCTAAGGTTCTGGGGCAAAGCAGGTCGCAGGCCTGCCTGCCCTCCCACCCCTGGGGTTGTATTTAAAATACAAAATTGGGTTAAATATCATTTTCTTCAGATGCAGCTCCATACAAACAAGCTTTACCAGTGCGGGCAAGACAAAATTTGGAGAGTCTTCTCTCCACAACCCAGTGGCAATGACAGTCAGGATTGGGAGTGCCGAGGGACCCTAACGTTCATTCCTAGCCCCTAGAAGTGTCTCGCTTCATCAGCGCCATTTCTTCTCTCCTAACAACTCCCTGGTTGCTAAGGGATTATTACCAGGTCTAAGGGCTCACCATTTGTCCTATTCCAGACCACAGCAGGGTTTACTTTCTCTCTTTGGGGTTTGCCAGGAGCAAAAAGTAGCATCCCAACCTCCTGTCAGCTCAACAAGAAGAGATTTATTGCAGTTAACTGAAAGGACACTTGTTACAACATATGCTTCAGCAAAGATAGGCTCCCAGCTTGTGGCTGGCCTTCGCAAACAGTCAGGGTCCTGCCAACGCAGCCTTTTTTTTTTTTTTGCCATTGCAGCAGAAGTCATTAGCGATGCAGCATCCAGACCCAGGAAGGTTTCCAAGGTGGAGCCTCAGAGGCTGGCACTCAGGTGCTGAGATCACCTGCCGGAGCCACAACAAGCTTTTTGTTTGGGCTGCTGAGCCCCCTACCCAATGTGCACCTCCTTTTCTTCCTCACACACAGAATACTAGGTATATTGAGAGCAGCAATAGTCTCAGCTAAAAATGATACATTTCTTAGCCCGCCTTGCATGATTATGATCCATAACTTGCAAGGTGAGGTGCCCTGGCTATTTCTGGGAGAGTCTGCCATCCTGATAGAGGTGTTGTGCCTCACACTCCCTCTCTGCCTCTCTAGTGTTTGGGTTTTGTGAAGGCTGCTTTGCCTCATTCTAGGTTTCCTGTCACTTATGGGTAGTTTTCCCTTCCGACAACTCCATCTTAAGTCCGTTCTGGCATAAGTCGAATACCTCGCTTTTTTTAAAAGTTTTCATTATTATTACCTTTTATTATCAGTATCTTTATAAATCATAACATTGAACATCTTGAGTGAACGTCTGAGAATGATAACATCAGCAAATTACATGCTGCAACATTGTATGTAGTCCATATTTATAATGATAACCAAACCAAACCCGTTGCTCTCGAGTTGATTCCGACTCATAGCGACCCTATAGGACAGAGTAGAACTGCCCCATAGGGTTTCCAAGGAGCAGCTGGCCGATTCGAACTGCTTACCTTTTGATTAGCAGCCGTAGCTCTGAACCACTGCATCACCAGGGTTCCATTTATAATGATAAAATATACAAAAAAAGATGGTCCTAAATGCGCCTGCCTTAACTTGAATACGTCATAAATCAGCGACTACCTGGTACTTCCCAGGCTGCAATTATTTTCAAAGGCTTTGAGGCTGCTGTAAGTCTGACTTGCAGATAATGAGAGAATTCCTATATATGAGTCGACTGCTTTTTCAAAATTGATCCATATAGTTTGATGTTGAATATTCTGAGTGAAAAAAATTAAACATCTGCCCTTTTTCAAAGTTACTGATACATACACAGGTAAACATGGGGTTAGGTAATTAATTACAGGGAGATCAAAAAATTTGTGGAATGGGCAGTTTATTTCAGTTAAGAGGAAGGACTAATTTTGCCACAGTGGGAAAGGATGTGTTTTAGGGCAGCAATGTGGAGTTCAAAAACTGCTACGTTTAATTGTATCCCATTTACGTCTGCGTAATGTCCTTATCTCCGTGTCTCAATTCCCTCTACTTTCCTTTCACACCAAGGTATCAGATGAGAACTATGTTAAGCTGACGGATTGTTTGACATATCTGATCTAGCGTAGCTTCTACAACACTCCTTTCTCTTTTTTCCCCAGGAGATACTTTTGACATTGACATATAGCATATTGGAGAGGACAGATGCCTGAGGGCAAATGCATCAAAGCTCTTAGGATTCGAATATTTCTGACAAATCAGAAAAGGTGTTTTTTTTTTTTTTAATGGAGCAGAGTGTCATTTTATGGAGTCCTTGAAATGCAGAAGCAAATGAATCTCCTTTATTGTGAAATAAAACAATCCAAATGATTGCAAACCCGAGAAACTAAGAGAGAACAACTTAAACATTTAGCACAAACACGTTTATTTTTCAAATTCTGACATTTTTCTGAAGTACACTTGTAATCTAAATACCCCTCTCCCTTCTTCCCTGTACAACATACCATTTTCAACCTGTTTGTTTATGGAATGAATGCCTTAAAGAGAAGCCTTACTCACATTCCCATGAAAGAAATAAATATATACTTGTCTCTAGGATCAATTTAACTGAATTTGACTAAATCCTGGTAAAGGCTCCAATCTTCGTAACAGGCTCGTAACAGAATGGATAATGTTTCATTATTAACAAATTGGTATAACATAGCTAAGCAGTTAATTAAAGTATTCAGATGCATTCAATGAGCTTCTATGGTGTGCAAAGTATCCTTCCAAAGTAGGCGCTCTTCTTTAGATGTAAATTATAACTTCAGAAGTTAGGACTTTGATACATTCAAGATACCCTAATGATAGGAAAAGTTTGCTACTACTTCCAAAGGTGCCCAGTTTATTGCCAAGGAATAGCTTAGGCACTGGAAGAACAAATCAAACTTAAGCATTAAAAAAAAAAAGAAGTTAGGGAGTGGCTGTACCTTTAAGACATAAAAACCACGAACGACAATATGAAGTACATTCTGGTGATGTAAAATTCTAGCACCTGTGCAGGGTAGGCTAGAAAAGGACACCAGTTTAAAAAGAAACCAATATCAACTTCAAAATAAGCCAGGATGCAAATGAACTGCAATTTATAGGAATAATTAACGTATAGAAATACCAGCTCCTCCTCCCAGCACTGAAACTATACTCCCTCAGACACACTGCCATCACTGGGAACGGTGGAGTAGAGTTGCTAAATGTATAGTATATTAAATAATTAAAGAATACAGCCAAGTTTCTGTGTGTGGTCCCAAAGATTTTTTAACATATTTTTTCAATATTACAGTTGTAGGAATGAAAAATGAAGACAATATAAGTATTTTCTTAGAGAGAGCTTACAGAGTTCTTACGGACCCCAAAGTGGAAACAACACATCATCATACTTCCTTCACACATCTCTAGTTGTTATTGTTTCCTGCCCTAAATAGGTTCTCCTTCCAGGCCAAGTGTCATCCACTGGCAGAGTACCTTCAGGATAGGTATACTTGCATCATTTACATATCCCTCAATTCAAGCCTCCATTTACAAGCTTAAGCTCAGATTCTGGTCTCTCTATTCAGAACATCCCCGTAAAACCCATTGCCATCGAGTCGATTCCAACTCATAGCAACCCTATAGGACAGAGTAGAACTGCCCCATAGAGTTTCCAAGGAGCACCTGGTGGATTCAAACTGCTGACCTTTTGGTTAGCAGCCATAGCTCTTAACCACTCCACCACCAGGGTTTCCCAGAACTTCCCGCACTTACTTAAAAGGCTCATTTAAAACACTAAAAAAAAAAATTCTCCCTGAAGGGAGAGACTTATTCAAGGAGAGCAGTGCTATTGCCAGCTGATGCTCTGCCTTAGAAAGTAAAACTCAACCTCATCTCTTTAAGAGAGCCCCAGTGGTCTCCCATTCAAAAACTTGCTATTTCTATTATTTTCTAAATATGGTGCTTAAATAAAATTAAATGCAAATAATAAACAGTAATTAAATAAGGAACCTGAAATAAATTAAAAAATACACGGTCTGGTGGTTTTCGGAGAAGGTAATAGAGAAAGGTCAGTCCCTTTAAGTTCACATTCCTTTCTGTACCAGTGTGGACAATGAGTGGGCAATGCTGCCCTCTAAAGGGCTTTCTGTGTCACAGCCTTTAGTTCAGACGGTGGGAAAGGGCCCGAAGATGCGCTGATGAGCAATCACGCACACACTTTCGTTTGCTTATGGGACGAAGTCTGTCCTCGACCTTCTATGAATGACTCTGAAGACCATGTAGCCCCTAGAGAGGCGGTGTGTCTTCATGAAGTCTCATTGTTACACTGGTTCCCAAACCTTAGTGTGCATTACAACCATCTGGAGGGTTTGTTTAAACACAGGTTGCTGGGCCACACCCCCAGAGTTTCTGATTCTGTAAGTCAAGGGTCGGTCTAAGAATGTGCTTTTCTAACAAGTTCCAAGGTGATGCTAATGTTGCCAGTCCAGGTACCACACTTTGTGTGCCAGACACTGTACTAGGCACTTTATTTAATATCTCACAACAGGGTGATGTTTTATCATCTCTGTTTTACAGGGCCAACAAGCTAAGTCTCAGAGATTAATTGGCCAAGATCACATAGTTTGTGACAAAGCCGATAATAAACTCAGAACCGTCTAACTCAGAAACCACTGCTCTTTTCTCTACACTGTGATATCAGTAAATACAAATTTTCGTCACTCCATCTTTCTTGGCCTTAGCTGCTTTATGCAAGGGGGCAGGACTTAGATGCCGGCTTACTTTTTTTCCCTCTATCAGAATACCTGGAGGTTGGGTTTGAAAGCTCAGCCCACAGCCACCCAGAAAAGGTCCACTCCATTTGCAGGCTGGTTCCGTGAGTGGGTGAGCTGAGAGGTGAAGGGAGGGCCCTGTCTAGGTCCTGAATCCTCCTGGAACGTTCGTTCAGAGGGGGTCTAGCCTGCTTTGGACTCCGGGGTTTTTTGTACTCAGAAACTCGGAAGAGAGGTTTTAGAGCTAACCTCTCACGAGGATTTTAAGGACCTGGGAAGCCTAGTGGGTCTCAGAGACGACCCAGAGCGTGGCTGTGTCTCTCTACGCTCTCCAGCCTCAGCTCAAACCACCACAGCAGGGGCAGAGACCCCTTAACTTGAAAACCGGAGTGACCAAGTACTTTGGCTTAGCTGTGTGAAGACTGAAAGTTTTCGATAAAGGAAAAACAGTTTTCAGGTCACGTACCCCACTGGGATAACGCAAGTGGAAAGTCATTATTAGCACGGAGCCCCATGCAGGATGTCACAGTGATAGGAAAACGACTGTGAGGCCCCACCCACTTCAAAACAGTTTTTTCTCATCCTTTGCATTCACCTCCTGACCCAGCTTGGTGTTTTCCTGAGGGAGCTATAAATCTGGAGCATCCCATGGGGATGGTTTCTGGCCTTGGTCATGAGGGGGAAAGGATGTTCTCAGAAAAACAGTCCCGCGGGCTGATCAGCAGAGGTCTCGTGGGCGTGGCCACGGCTGGACTTGGTGCGGAGCTGTACCCTGGACTCCAGCTGCTCGCTGAGCTCGTCCAGAGCCCCCGTGCAGGACTCTAGGCTCTCGGCCAGTTTCTGAATCTTGGCCTTCAGCACGGCCTGGCTAACCGTGGTGGCCCCCTCGGCCCGCCTGGGGATGAGGACGCCACGTGAGCCGAAGAAGACGATGAAATAGACAGAGTTGTACAGGGCGACGGAGGCGTTCCTCCCGCACTGCAGCAGCTGGCGGTCCCCGCGGCCCTGCCAGCGGCAGAAGAACTCCAGGCAGCTCAGGATCTCGCGCATCTGGTCCTGGCAGGTGGCGGCGATCTCCCGCACCCTCCGCAGCTCCCGGGAGTTGAAGAAGACCAGGGAGAGGTCGGAAGTGATGGTGACGGCCCCTCCGGCGGTGGCCACCCCCAGCCCCACGGCCGACGCCAGAAGCGAGGCCCCCAGGGTGATGGGGCTGAGCGAGAGGCCCACGATGGCGGCCACAGCGCCCGCGGCGCTGAGCGAGCTGCCCGCCACATTGGCCGCCAGGGAGCGCCTGCGGAGGCGCTCGAGGCGCCGGGCCACCTCGCGCAGGCGCAGCACCTGGCCGTGCAGGCGACCCCGGCGGTCCAGCAGCAGCCCCTGGAAGCGCCGCAGCGAGTCCGCGCCCTGCGGCTCCCAGGCCTCCGGCCTCTCCATGGCCTGCGGGGACACAGGCACACAGTTAGCCGAGCTGCTCCCCCTCGCGGTTCCCGTACGCAAGCGGGAATGTTAAAAATAACAGCTACTGCCACGCAAGGGACAGTTTCCACTGGGTCATGTGTCAAGCTCTCAAAGACCAGTTTTGTAATCTCGGACAAGTCACACAGGTTGTTAGGACCTTAAATCCGCATATTCAAATAGGAATAATGCCACCTTTTGCTTTTCTCCCTGTGGACTTTATTGACCATCTGTTAAATAAGATTTAAACTTACTGAGGAGGGGATGCTGGTATTAGAAGGTCCTCCAATACTGAGGCTTTCACTGTGTTTGAAAGAGTATTTTACAAATGGTAGGTTGTATAGTTTACAAAGCCCTTTCATTATAGGAAGACTTGGATCCTAGGACTTTTGCAGCAGCTCTTTCTCTCTCTTTGACAGGTGAAAAAGTCACCAAAATCTCAAAAATCAAATTGTTCATCAAATTTAAGAAACTCATCTAAGTTAGATGCTTGCCTGAAACAACTCTTCTGCTTGTTTTCCTTTCAGACTTCCATCTTAGCATCAAGCCTAAAATGTGGTTTGCACTATTTATTCCTTTAATAGACAACTAGTACTCTTCAAGTCTTCTTCAGAAATCACTCTTTGATAGTCACTTAATTAAAATTAAATTGTATTAATACCACTGTATTTCTTTGTTATTTTAATAAATAAATAAAACCAAACCCGTTGCAGTCAAGTCGATTCCAACTCATAGCGACCCTATAGAACAGAGTAGAACTGCCCTATAGGGTTTCCAAGGAGTGGCTGGTGGATTGGAACTGCCGACCCTTTGGTTAGCAGCCATAGCTCTTAACCACTACACCACCAGGGCTCCTTGTTATTAAAGCTTCCTAAAAAAGACAAAAATTAGTCATGGTTGAATAAAATAAAGTGGTCAAAATTTCTGTTCAGCAATTCACTGAGGGCTACCTTGTACCAAGCTGAATTGAAGCCAATTGAAGATGACTAACAGAGAGAGCTGTGCACTCTAGGGTGAAAGTACATCCTTCCTACCTGCCAAAGATTTCACCTTCATATCCCCTGTCGTCCCCATTGTCAAGAACTTCTTAAAAGTGGCAAATAAGCCTCAGAAGGAGAACATTTCAGTACTAGTGCCTTGCGTATAAAACGGTCTTTTATACTTTCCAAAGACATTTTAATGAACATTTTCTCTTTTGATTCTTTCAATAACCCTGTGATATATCAGAGCAGGAATTAATATTCTCATCTGGAAGATGAGGAAATGGCAACACAGTCTCATTCTAGATGCACCTGATTCTTCACAGGGCCCAGCCTAGAATCCAGGTCTCCTGACTCCTAGGTCCTCATTTTACTTTCATGCTTCTATAATCCAACCCATCAGTGATACATTTCCAGGTAAAGGCACCTCTTAGCAAAATGAGATAAAGTCACTCAAAATATTTAATGGACCAAGGATACAACCCCACTATTACAAGAATCCAGTAGCTATTTTTCAGCAATATCCTTCCAAGCTCCCCACTTACCATCCACTTGGATGCCTCCGGGAAAGGAAAATATGAGGCTGTTTCTGGATGAGACTGCTTTATAGTTCCCGAGGGCCAATGGCCGCCCTGGGAAAGCCTTGTCTCATTCTGTGAATTTGCCATTTCCTGCCCTGGCCCCTGCTGCCTTCGTCCAGAAGGATGTGACATGGTGGAAAGTGACCTGCAAGTCACACAGCACATCCCGTATTTAGGAAATGAACATTGTGTGTTCGCTTTCCCCCAAGTGCAGGAAAAGGATCACATGCTCTTCCCCAACTTGAAGCAAGTGTTGTCATTTTCCCAGGGGGGATACTCTGCCTTTCCTCTCCTGTGAATAGCGAATGACGTTATGTGGGAGGACATCAAACGCACCCCAGGCTGACCAATTATAGTGTTTCTTGAGAGGCCACCGTTACAAAACCATTTTTAAAAAGAAAAGGGAGAGGAAAAAAAAAACCCTCTTACATCTGATATTAACCACTCATGGTTTACTCCTGTGAAGCTGTGAGTGGTGGAAACGTGATCCACCCAGCTTGCAGCCCTTATCATCCGGTCTTCAGAATACAAGGCCACACCCACAGGAAGGGCTGCGTGCAGATTTGGGCATCTCCAGCTGTGGAGAAGACATTGGAGGTCTCTAAAAGGGTACACTGCAGGCCAAATGCGTCAGAAAAATCAATGGGGTCAGGCTGCACAAGATGCTAATTATATACTTTCAACAGCGAGGATTCGGCTTCCTGCATTTTTTCTTTGGAGTAACACTTGTAGCCCCGTTTGATAGTTAAATGAATTCTATCTACAGGTTAGTGAAGCGCAGGTTGAAGGGCAATTATCTCCATAATTCAGGAAGGAAAAATGAGTGTAGCATCTGTGGACTTATCACAGACCAGGACATCGAGAGGTGGTTGGAGATCAGCCAGGGAACTCAGTCCTACCGTAGGGGCCGAAATTCAATCTCCCTTCTAACACTCCCACCTTCAGATGTTGTTGTTATTGTCAGTTGTCCTGAATCAGCTCCAATTCATGGAGACTCCATGTATAACAGAATAAATGTTGCCCGTTTCTGTGCTATCTTCAGGAAGGTTGGTATGCTCGAGTCCATTGTTTTGGCCACTGTGTCCTTCCAATCTAGGGAGCTCATTTCCCAGCACTATGTCAGACTATATCAGCCATGGTGTTTTCAGTCGTCTCATACGCATGAGAAAGCTTGACAATCAACAAGGAAGCCCGAAGAAGAATTGATGCCTTTGAATTATGGTGTTGGTAAAGAATATTGAATATACCATGGACTGCCAAAAGGACGAACAAATCTGTATCGGAAGAAGTACAGCCAGAATGCTCCTTAGAACAAGGATGGTGAGACTTTGTCTCACATACTTTGGACATGTTGTCAAGAGAGATCAGTCCCCGGAGAAGGGCATCATGCTTGGTAAAGTAGAGGGTCAGGGAAAAAGAGGAAGACCCTCAACAAGATGGATTGACAAGCTGGCCACAACAATGGGCTCACGCATAACAACGACCGTGAGGATGGAGCAGGACCAGGCAGGGTTTTACTTGGTTGTGCACAGGGTCGCTATGAGTTGGAGCCAGCTCGACGGCACCGAACAACAACATATCAGACAATATTCTGTTGTGATCCATAGGGTTTTCATTGGCTAGTTTTTAGAAGTAGATTGCCAGGCCTTTCTTCCTACTCTGTCTTAGTCTGGAAGCGCCACTGAAACCTGTCCACCATGGGTGACCCTGCTGTTATTTGAAATACCAGTGGCACAGCTTCCAGTGTCATAGCAACACGCAAGCCACCACAGTAGGACAAACTGACAGACAGGAATTGGCACCTTGAGATAAAGAATGCCAAATAAGTTTTTCCCTTAAATTGACCTGATTATTGACACATGAAGAAATGCTCACGATCAGTAGCCATTAGAGAGATGCAAATCAAAACTACAATGAGATGCCAGCTCACCCCAACAAGGCTAGCATTAATTCAAAACCCACAAAATTATAAATGTTGGCGAGGTTGTGGAGCGACTGGAACACTTATACACTGCTGGTGGAAATGTAAAATGGTACGACCACTTTGGAAATGGATTTGGCGCTTCCTTAAAAAGCTATAAATAGAAGTACCATAAGATCCAGCAATCCCACTCCTTGGAATATATCCTAGAGAAATAAGAGC